ACTATCGTAATCCTTATTCAAAATTACAATTTAAAAAGCATAGAAAATATTAAGGGGAATTTGCTACTCTGTTTTTTCAAGATATCCATTTTCCATAACCATAACGATATTTAGAACAATTTTCTATAACAATTTTTTATATTAACATTATTTTAGCAATTAGAACAAACACTATATATTACTTTTTTATAATTATAACTTTACTACCATCTTTTTTACCTTTATTCATTTTACCCGCAATTTTGCTAGCACTACTACCACCAATACCAGAAAACAACAAACCTCTTATAAAAGCACCAAACAAGGTCAACAATGCTATACCAATCAGATATCAAAAAGGCCGAAAACCTCCTATGCTTACACTTTGCCAATAAGACACAATTTTCGTCAATAATTCTCCACAAAATTTAAAGATGGCTAACATAATATTTAATTTTTAAATAGACAGGCAAAACACATCTCCTCGGTGCCAAAGAGAATAATATTTTGACAAATAGAACATTTATTAAACATACTAACTAATATTTACACTAGGCCCTTGATTATTACTTTTACCATCACTCGGACTGCTTTTTCAATAACCAACCACCCAGGAGAGATTAATTAAAGCAAATATTCCTAGGACACCAATATTTAACAAAGTAGGAAAGGCAAACCAATTATTTAACATATTATAATACCTGATAAAAAGACCATGGGAGGCTCCTGCTACCAGGATTATTCACTTGTTTTCTCATAGGTTAGAAATGGTTTTTTTAACATAACCTCATATCCATTTGCCTACTTCTTTTAAGGCTTTTACTAGCACAGTGCCGATTGCTGCGGCTGTTAGGGGTTCTGCCATAATATATAATTTTTACTTACTATTTTTTACCGCTTGCCAAATATCACTCAACTTCCATAAATAATGGAGACAAACACAAGCGATAATGAAAGTAGCCAAAATACAAGCCAACATTAATCATTTCGCCCATTGCGGGAGTTGATGATTACACTGATTATTTTTTGTTGAAATTTGCGTCATATTTATAATTCAATTTGTTTGCTTTTTTCATCATCATCCTCTAATTTTGTTTCTTTTTTACCATCTGTTAAATCTTTCTCGGCTTGCTCTAATGTTTTTTTTGTTTCTCTTTTTTCTTTTGTTGCTTTTTCTCATGCCATTTCATCACGCCACCTAATAATATTGCTCCCAATAGCACTCACAGATATCAAGGCACATAAGTAAAAGCACTTAAACCGCCCAAGTAAAGCACAAGGCCGATTATAGCAAAGAATACGACGGCGAAAAAAAAGTCCCAATGTTTCGCTTTTTCACACTTATGACAATGGTTTTTATTGTTATTACACATAATAAATTTTTTTACTTATCTTTTTTCGTTGCTGCGGCCATAACGGCAATTATTAAACCTATAAATAGAAAAATGTAAGTTAGAGGATGATTAAACACAATTTTCCAGTAAGGTTTATTAGATTTCATGCCTTCCTCCATGCCTGCGGGTTTCATACTGCCGAGATTTTTTAACTTGTTAATCGCTTGTAAACTATCCGTGAAGGAGAATTGACCCGAGAAATTATTATCACTTTCAGTGCCGACACTTTCATCTCCCGCTCCTGCTTCTCGCTGGGCGTTGTCTTGGAAGTAAGAACCTCATTGGCGAGCGTTTTCTCCGGTGGTGAAGCGTTCGTTTTCTTCTTCTTGCATATTGGCTTTTTGTTCGTCATTTGCTTTTGCGTATTCCTCAAATCTATCTCTCCTATCTTGCGTATCCTCGCCCGGAGGACCATAACGGGGATTTTTGTTTACTTGTTCCTCAAATATTTTGTCTTTTTCACTAGTAGAACGACTTTTATGGAGAGTTTTGGCTAGATTGCCCGAAGTAAGTTCTCGTCATAAGGCTTTTTTAGTAGCCGCATCTGCTTCTTGTCAGCGTTTTTTTAAGAGTTCTTTATCGGAGGGGTTAAAGACGGGGTTGTTGTCAACCATTTGGTTAAACATGTTGTCGCGGGTTTTTTCTTGGAGATGGTCGAACATGCGATCCAACATCTCGGCTACTTTTTCCGGATTAGCGGAGGCAAGTTTTTTAATTATGTTGGCAATATGAGCCTCATCTGCGAAGGCGGTATTTAGGAGGTCAAATTCCTCTCTGGTTAGGCCTAGGTCTTGTAAATCTTGGTCGCTTACTTCTTGGCGGTTGGCGTCTCTACTTGTTGGGGTTTCATCTTGGCTGCGACCTTTTTGTTCCTCGTTTTGGCTTTCTTTTAGTTCTAGGGTGTCGGAGCCTAGGCGGACGAGGGTGCCTTTTCCTTCTTTGATTATTTTGCCGACTAGTTCGGCGAGGGTTTTGGAGTTGAGGGCGGGGGTTTTATTAGCGATAAAATTATTGTAAATATCATTTTCGTCGCTTGTGCTGTTTTTGTCATAACGCATACGGCTAAAAATTATGTAATGGCTAAATCCATTGTCGGGGTTTATTGTGCGAGGGTCATCTCCTCATCAATCCCTTTTGTCTCGTCTAAAATCTATTTGATTAGTTATTCAAATAACACTTAGGGGTGCGGGGCTTGGTGCGTAAACCGAAGTAGACCAGGCTTGAAAATCCTGGATTAAGTATTTATCGCATAATATTCCGATAAAATGACTTTTATCTTTTAAATCATAAGCATTATGTTGACTTCTTAAAAAACGAGTAAGGCGTCAGGATTTTTGAACTACGCCAGGGACGCCCATTGGAATTTTTTTATCTTTCCTTCACGGCCATGCGATCCAGCCTAATTTATCGGCTCTTTTGTCATCCTTTCTTTTTCCTCGTAATAAAAGATTTTTGTCCTCACCTTCCTCTCTTTTTTTCTTTTCCTCCTCGGTTCTTGCTTCCTCCTCGTCTTTAACTAATCTCGCAAAACCTTTAATTGGTTTTTCTGCTGTGCCGAGATTTTTGGCTCAAAAGAAATTATGGCCTACATCGCGAAAATTATCGCGTCGCGAAACCTCTCAAAGTTCTAATAATAAAGTAATAACATCACCCGAGCCATGCCGAATATTAGCCGCCGTAGTAGGGTCTTTGATAAACCATTGTAAACTTTCTTTCAAACTGAACGCCATACAAATCCAAGGCAATTTCTCCGCCTCCTCTTTGGTAATTCCTCCTAATGGCATACCTAAACCAGGACTAGGTTTAAAAGGTTCATCATTGCCCGTTGCTTTATTATCTTTCTCCATCTCATCCGTCATACTATTGAGAATATCATTGAGAGTAGAGGAATTAAAACCAAACTCTTTTGGAGGAGCATCGGGAGTTTCACCTCTCGCTTGTTGCTCTCCTGCTTCTCTACTTGGAGACTTTTCTCGCTGTTTGTCTTTTCGTGGTTCCTCAGGCCTAGGTATATCATCAGGGTCTATATTATTATTTTCGTCATTTTGAGGTGGGTT